GGATCCATTCTTGGTCTCTTTCCCATTCCATCTCTTACCCCTCTCCCTCGCTGCTGTTTCAGACGTGGGCACCATCCGTGAAGAAAGAAGCTATGTTCCCTGAGGTGGAAGGAGCTTCCTTGGAGCAAGGGCAGGGAGTGCAGGCCGTGGAGCATGGCCACAATTCCCTCTCCTGTGGTAAGGACTCTTTGTGCCTGGATACGATTGGGGCACCCAGTGAATTTAGTGGGTAGAGAGTTCGGGTCAGGAAAATATTTATATACTACTTCACAGTGTGCAGAGTTAATTTGCAGCACTCTATGTCCACTAACTGTGGTGCCTCTAAAAGGAGATTAGACAAATCCATGGAGGGCAATTCCTCCCATTTATTAACATAATCACATCTCACCTTCCTTCCAGAAGAGAAACTCAAGGTGGCTCAAAAGAGAAAAGGCAGACAAACCTGGGCAGAGTTCTTCAGCCTGGTGAATGAAGGGAGCCTCCGTCTCCCGGGGCAGCAGAGCTCTGAAATCGAGTCCCTCGGGGGCCAATATTCATGGGGAAATTTGGCTTTTCTGCCCATCCTTAAAATGGCCCCTGGCAGGCTGCTGGGGGGGGGGGGACAGGATGCTGGTAGGGAGGGGGGCTTTGGATGGCCCACCCCCCAGATGCTTTTGGGGAGGGGCTTGGGGCAGATGTGGGGTCCTGTTGATGTCACATCTGGCTGAAACCCCCAGTTGTGAAGTCAGCATGAAAAGAGACACTCTGGAAACTCATTCTGTTCTCCTGGTGAGCTCAAGTCACGTCTGGGCCGGAGGTGAAGGTGACGTGTCATGCGGCATCATTTCCACCCCCCAGGCCAGACACAGTGTTAGCCAAATTCCCTTAATTTTTTAATTAATATTGGGGAAGTATGATTATTAATTGGCAATAGGCAAATTAGGGGAGCGAACACCGTCGTATACAGAGGCCCCACCTTTCTATTAGTAACCAGAAATGGACACGGAGACTGTAATGAGAGCCAGTTTGGTGTCGTGGTTAACTGCGCGGACTCTAATCTGGGAGAACCGGGTTTGATTCCCCACTCCTCCACTTGCACCTGCTGATGTGACCTTGGGTCAGTCACAAGCTCTGGCACAGCTGTTCCTGAAAGAGCAGTTTGTGTCAGAGTTCTCTCAGCCCCACCCACTTCACAGGGTGTCTGTTGTGGGGAGGGGAAGGGAAAGGAGTTTGTAAGCCCCTCTGAGACTCCAAGTGAAGAGCGGGGTATAAATCCAATCTCTTCTTCTTCTTCTTCTATTCAATATAATAATGTCTTTTTACTGGAGAATATTTATCATTCAAACAATACACAAGCACGCACACAATTATACAGATTCTAGGAATTAAAGATAGACCGTAAGTATTTTGCATTAGCAGGACATTTGTTGGTTGGGCAATATTGATCGAGCCGTTCCAGTGGAAGAATGGAGGGGTTAGAAATAGAAAATGGGAAACACGTGCTCTAAACCAGCAGAACCACGTGGACTCTAGCTGCAGATCTAGAATTTAAAGATGGAGGTAGGGTATTTGGATAGCAAGCTGGACATATGAGGGTTAAAGCTTTGATAGGGGTCGTGGGGGGGAGAGAGAAAGACCGTGTGGTCGGGTAGGACCTTTTATAACATTGGGAGGGGGGCAAGCTAGGCTGGCCACATCCCCCTGTTGGTCACCTGGATGGAGGATAATTGACTCATCGAGCTAAGGATATTGTCTCTTGATTGCCCTAGCCCGGTCGTTGATGGGCAATCAGGTAAGAGGGCAGGTAACCTTGAAGAGCCACTGGAACAGCAACGCAAAGGAAGGTTCTCTTCTCTCTGGTGTGCAGTCTCAACTTGCGTCATATGAAGTCACCTTTCAGTACAGTCTCTTAAGCATATCTTTGCATAGTCCATTTGATAACTTATGAGTTGTAGTTCATAAGAGCACATTATGTGCCTTGCTGGGGAACCACAGGTCTCACAGGAGTCTGAAATACGTTGAAAGCATTTATACTCCCTGAGGATCATAGGTACCTGGTGCTTCTCTTCCGCCTCTCCCACAATTTAGTAAAAAGTGTTTAACGGTTTGTTGAGCATACACAGGGCAAGGTTTCACAACCCTGGGAAGTGGGTGTGTGAAGCAGGGACCAAGCAAGCAAACTCCCTTCCCTTCCTCCTTTGTCTCAGGAACAGGCAGTGAAGAGATGCTGTTTAGCCGTCGTCCTTTCAGAGGTGTGGAAACGGCTGCTGCCCCTCCAGTCCAGGTAGGGGAGATGAGCCGGTGGGGGGGGGGGGATACACAGCGTGAGTCCCTCCACTTTTCTCAGGGGGGCTTCTGCTCCTGCAGTTTCTTTAAGGTTTCCTAGCAAGAGATCCTCTAAGCGCCATTCCCTTGACCCATCCCAAGCCTTTCATCCTGTACCTTCCCAGACCAATCCTTACCCATGTGCAATCTCTGCCTGTTGTGTTCTCCGACGAGGGAATCTGCTTTTTCTCTCAGGGTCCCTTTCCCTTTGAGGAGGTGGCCATCTCTTTCACGGAGGCAGAGTGGGCCCTGCTGGATCCGGGACAAAGAGCTCTGTACAGGGAAGTCATGCTGGAGAACTACGAGAATGTGGCCTTTCTGGGTAAGGATCTTTCCTTGGTGCCAAAGGTGCAAATTGCTGCCCTTGTGAGGAGGCATGAATCAAAATATTGGATAGCTGTTCAGTTTCGAGTCCTGTCCTGCTACTTGGGGAGGGGCTGTGGCTCACTGGCAGAGCATCTATCTGCTGGGCATGCAGAAGGTCCCAGGTTTGATCCCTGGGACCCCCAATTAAAAGGGCCGGGTAGGAGGTGATGTGGAAGACCTTTCTCTGCCCAAGACCCTGGAGAGCTGCTGCCAGACCGAGTAGACAAAAGTGACTTCAATGGACCAAAGGTCCGATTCAGTAGAAAGCAACTTCCTGTGTTGTTCGTGTGTGTGTGTACTCGCCCAGGGGCAACCGAGGCCAGTGTTGTGGCCAGTTCCCTCTAAGCTTTCCACACTCGGGGGGAGGGGGACCCAGGCTTCGGTTCTTGACAGGAACACGTCCAAATGACAGGCAAAGCAGGTGCTTGTAATCCCATCCAGAGGGAAGGGTGTCTTGTAAAGGCTGGCAACTTTAATTCTACTTTGTGAGCTACTGGCATTAAAGTTGTGAGTGAGCACTTTGGCTACTGCATAAGTTAGTTTGCTCTGGAGACATCCTTCCCGAGGCAGGACAAACAAGTGTGAGCCGGAGGCTAAAAAACTGTGAGCTAGCTCACGCTAACTCAGCTTAGGGGGAACACTGGTTGTGGCCATCACCCAATCCAGAGAAGGTGTCCTGGGATGAGGCAAAGGGGCTGAGAGGCCCTCAGAAAGACTCTGGAAGGGGCCGGATCCTCATTTCTCTGTTGCCAGCCTTTACAAGACACCCTTCCCTCTGGATGGGATTACATGCACCTGCTTTGCCTGTGATTTGGACGTGTTCCTGTCAAGGACCGAAGCCTGTGTCCCCCTCCCCCCGGGTCACTACACTTTATACCTGAGAGCAGCACCCAGTTCAGTGGGTTCACAAGGAGAGTGCACACAAGTAAAGCAGACCCCTTTTAAAATATATATAAAGGTTTACTAAGGATTTCGAAATACGATACCGCTAAGCAGCACCTTTTCTGCAGCTCAGCAGAAGAAAACAAGAAAAGCTAACTGTTGTATCTAATACATGAAACACTTGGTATTCAATGGCACCCCTTGGTGCAACGTAAGTATTCCAGCTGTTCCTCTAGTTACGCTACATAAAACTATTCATCGTAATGAAGCAAGAAAAAATTCAAAGTGCAGTCGCTTGGCATGAGCATAAAGTTAGCCTGGCTTCCCTCTGGCCTAGATCCATATTATACTTTCTGCCTCACTATGGCCATGTGCCCCTAATGACCCAATCAAGGGTACTTCTCGGTGGAATTTTCCAGAGGCTTTCAGTACCCCCCTCCCTCCTGGTTACACAACTGGATACAGGTTCTCACAATTAACCAAGGAACACATTCTGGAGTCTGGCTTTGAAAAAGATAAGGATGTTAGCTGCAGGGAGACTCGAATCAGGAACACCTGCAAGTCAGACCAGGCCACTTAATAATCACCTTAATCCCTTGGGGGAACTGGGGGGCTTTGCCTCACAGATCCACTCCCTTTATACTGCTTAGGATGGTGGGCTTTGATCTTGGCCATGGTTCCATCCTTCCAGAATAATTTTTACTTTGAATTTCTTTCCTTCCCCACATAAGAATCATCACTTTCTCTCTCTCTCCCTGTGAAAGAACCCAGAAGTATAAGAGAGACTGTGGTGCAGACAGACAATGGCTCTGCATTCCAAGAAAGGCTAGAGAGTTCCTCAAGAGGATCCCAAAAGCATAATTCCTTCCCGAATGAGCTGGCTGAGACTTAGTATCCTTCACAGTTATGCCAAGCGAACATGAAAACAACAGCCAGGGGGGATTTCTGATTGTCTTCTGAGTAACATTTGGTTTGGTACAATCATGTAGCCCACTGAGTAAGGAGGGAGGGAGGCCTTCTGGGAGCCTGAAATCTGGAGTCTCAGAAACTCCTTTTGGGCAACAGCTCAGCTGTGGCACTCGAGGGGGTGAGGTAACCTTAAATACTAGATATTTTGGAGAAAGGTGGAGGGATGGTTAACATGAGCCAAGCTGGATGAGGCCAGAGGACCATCAATCCTTTTCTTCTGAAGTCACATAACATGCCTTTGGACCTTACCAGACCTTCCAGATGCTAACAGAATTTCTCTATTTATGCCAGCAGAGGATGATCAGAGGAATGAGAAGGGTGCAGAACTTCATCAGCAACTGCCAGATAGAGCTAAAAATGAAGGCTTGGAAGAAAATATCAGGAATCGAGGGAGACATAAGAGAAAGAAAGGCAGCAATATGATTGATAAGAGAGATGGCGGACAGTGCAATGTACATTTTGCAAAGCAGAGGATAATGATGGCAAGGAATTCCATTAAATGTGGAAAGTACTTCAGAAATAGAACACAGCTCCTTCTGTACCAAAAAACACATAGAGGTGAGAAACCTTTTCAATGCTCAGAGTGCAGAAAGAGGTTCAGTGAAAGTGGCACTCTTCAGAGGCACCAAAGAATGCACACAGGGGAGAATCCATTTGAATGCTCAGAGTGTGGAAAGAGATTCAGTCATAGTGGCACTCTTCAAGTGCACCGAAGAACCCACACAGGGGAGAATCCATTCGAATGCTCAGAGTGTGGAAAGAGATTCAGCCAGAGTGGCCATCTTCAAGAGCATCAAAGAACCCACACAGGGGAGAAACCTTTTGAATGCTCAGAGTGTGGAAAGAGGTTCATTCGGAGTGGCCATCTTCAACTGCATCAAAGAACCCATACAGGGGAGAAACCTTTTGAATGCTTAGAGTGTGGAAAGAGGTTCAGTCGGAGTAACCATCTTCAACAGCATCAAAGAACCCACACAGGGGAGAAACCTTTTGAATGCTCAGAGTGTGGAAAGAGGTTCAGTGAAAGTGGCAGTCTTCAGAAACACCGAAGAACCCACACAGGGGAGAATCCATTTGAATGCTCAGAGTGTGGAAAGAGATTCAGCCAGAGTGGCCATCTTCAAGAGCATCAAAGAACCCACACAGGGGAGAAACCTTTTGAATGCTCAGAGTGTGGAAAGAGGTTCATTCGGAGTGGCCATCTTCAACTGCATCAAAGAACCCATACAGGGGAGAAACCTTTTGAATGCTTAGAGTGTGGAAAGAGATTTAGTCGGAGTGATCATCTTCAAAAGCATCAAAGAACCCACACAGGGGAGAAACCTTTTGAATGCTCAGAGTGTGGAAAGAGGTTCAGTGAAAGTGGCCATCTTCAGACGCACCGAAGAACCCACACAGGGGAGAAACCTTTTGAATGCTCAGTGTGTGGAAAAAGGTTCAGCGAAAATGGCAATCTTCAGAAGCACCGAAGAACCCACACAGCGGAGAATCCATTCAAATGCTCAGAGTGTGGAAAGAGATTCAGCCAGACTGGCCATCTTCAAGAGCATCAAAGAATGCACACTGATGTATTTTAAAATCTTGGAATTTTGTAAAGGTGTACTTCTTTTTGTATGAGTGGTCTAAGGAATGTAGAAATAAACTAAACTAAATCTCCAATCAGACAATGCTCTTCATATTCATGAGTTGCTAATTCCTGTTCCAGGCCTTTATAAAAATTTTCTTGGTGGTCATTTGGTGCATAGATGTTACTAAAAAAGAAATTCCCTTCTTTTTGAATTTCCGCCATCAAAATTCTACCATCTTTTGAAGCAAAAATAAGTTTAGGGTTAAATTTCTCTTTAATATATGTTACTACGCCTCTCTTTTTTCCTGTGAGTCTGAAGCGACAACATTTCCCCCCCAGTTGATTACATGCTAATAAGTGCTGATCAGTTTGTCTAATATGGGTTTCTTGTAAGCAAATTATACTCAAGTTTAGTCTTTGCAATTGCACTACACCAGTTTGATGGTCTTTGCAATTGCTTTGGTGCAGTGGTTAAGTTGTTGTTCAGTTGCACAGTCGAGTCCGACTCTTCACGACCCCATGGACCAGATCACACCAGGCCCTCCTGTCTTCCACCGTCCTCTGCTCAATTTCATGTTCATTCCATCTATGACACTGTCTAACCATCTCATCCTTTGCCGTCCCCGTCTTCTTTGACCTTCAGTCTTTCCCAGCATCAGGGTCTTCTTCTCCAGTGAGTGCTCCCTTCTCATTTGGTGGCCAAAGTATTTGAGCTTCAGTTTCATGATCTGGCCTTCCAGGGAACAGTCAGGGTTGATTTCTTTTAGGATTGACTGATTTGATCTTCTTGCAGTCCAAGGGACTCTCAAGAGTCTTCTCCAGCACCATAGTTCAAAAGAACTATAAGTGCAGGGACTCTAATCTGGGAGAAATGGGTTTGATTCAGCACTCCTCCACTTGCGCCTGCTGGATGACCTTGGGCAAGCCATAGTCCTGTCAGAGCTGTTCTTGAAAAAAGAGCCATTTCTGTCAGAGCTCTCTCAGCCCCACCTACCTCACAGGGTGTCTGTTGTGGGGAGGAGGAGGGAAAGGAGTCTGTAAGCTGCTCTGAGACTCCTTTGGGTAGTGAAGGGCGGGGTATAAATCCAACCTCCTCCTCCTCCAAGTCCATTCATGCTGACTCTCTGTAAGAATTCTAATTTGTTCTCTATCCATCATGGGTCTTCACTATTTTACCAGCTTGTTCTTTTTTAGTCTGTCTCCTTGTTTTTATTAATGGTAGTGCTTTGGCCCCCTCTTCTTGGTCCATTCCTATCCTTAACCCCCACCTTCCCAGCCCCTCTGTTCCCAGTCCAGGTGGGGCACCTGGTGGGGAGGAGGAGGAAGGCAGCCTTGACTTTTTCGTCTGCAGCAGGGAAAGGGTTAAAGCCAGCCGAGAGCTGCATTGGCTGGAGGGGGGGAGGAAGAAAGGTCATGCGAGGGGGGGAGCTCTGCGAATGGCCAGGGGGACCAGGGGGACCACCCCCTATAGAGGAAAGCCTGAACACCAGGTCCTGACGTCATCAAAGGAAGTCATAACAGTCCCTGAACTCTGCAGTTGCCAGCTACTTTCACAAGTGTTTTAACTTGCAGTTTCTCGTGTACTCAACAAGATATTCTCTTGATTCTTTCACTGAAGTATTCCAGATTCTTCACACTAGCTTACACTGTTACTGAGTTCAGTTTCCCTTGCATATTTGAGTGTATGTTTCGTATAATAGTGGAAAGTGGTGGATGTCTGTTGTATGATGGAAAGAACAAAACAACAACAATGAAATCACTGCTCTGCTAAAATACTAATTTACTGTGATCTGTCAGAAATGTATCTGTCAACACCACTGCAGAACGGTTGTGAAAAGAACAGGTTCATGTGGTTTAGTCAAACAGCAAACCAAAAACAAACTGAATTAGCAAAGTTAATCTTAATATGAAGATTCTCTTCTTTAAATTATTACTTGGATGGCCAACAGTAATAGTCACAGTAGATTATATCCGTACTATAGAGTCAGTGTGGCCCATATTTATGGAGCTATGTTTTGAAATTCTGTTAAATCGTCAGATTTTATTGCATAGGATTAGGATAACACATATTCATTTGAGCAATGTAGATAGATAAAATGTACACCCTGACACATAGATGCTATAGCAGTAACTGAGGTGTTATAATTACAGCTGACAATAGAAATGCTGTAGATAAAATACATACAACTTTTCTCAAAGAGTACAACAATCAATCTTCCTATGGAACTTCTTTTGATTAAATTAGAGGAAAATATAGAAACTTCACATTGTGGCCTTCAAGGAATCTAAATTTCACCAGTTGTCATTTCAACTCACGTTGTTGCAGTTCAGGGGCAAATTAATGTGAAAGGCAACTACATAACTTCTGTAAAGTTTTCCATTTCCTGTGATGGTTGTGACAGATGGTTCCGAGGGGACTCCGCTTCCCCCCATCGACTACTCTCCCCCCCCAACTGAGTCCTTCTGATTGGGTGCCTTACCCCCCCCCCATCCCATCCCGCTCCGGTCAGATGAATTTTTTACCAATCTTTTGGTATTCCATTCCAAAACGAGGGGGGGGAACCCTGATTTTTGCAAGCGTCTCTCTTTTGCAAAGAGGGGGGGGGGAAGGGAGGGGAAAGGGAAGCTTCGACCCACCACGTCCAGAGTCCTCCAAAAGCAAGCAAGATGAATCCTCTTCCATCCAAGAAAATAAAGACGGCCACTGTGCAAAACAAAAAAACCCCCAAACCCCAAACCAACTCCAGAAAGCCTCCCTCATTTTTGCAAAGAGAAAACCAGCCCGGGAGAGAGAGAGACCAAGGTCGTCTTCTCCTGCTCGAGTCAGCCACACAGGGAATACTATGACTACTCTCGTAGCCATTACTGTAACATCAGGACCTGGTGTTCAGGCTTTCCTCTATAGGGGGTAGTGCCGGGGAGGGCTGCAGATCTGCAACAGGAGGGGGGGGCGGGAAGCCTTGCAGCCAGACCCAGGCCGGGTTTACTCACAAGTAAGTCAGTGGCGGGGGAGAGAAGAGAAGTGTTGCCCTCCTGTAGGCTTTCTTTTTTTGGTGGTGGGATGGGAAGTGGCTTTTAAGGCGGTGTTCGAAAGCAGTCGACGGGACGGCGCCTGCTGGGGGGGGGCTTTAGAGGATGACCTTCCTGGAGGGGGAGGCAAAGGCCGGGCCTCCCAACGGCTCCTCCTCCGGGCTCCCTCGCCTGCCCTCTTGCTGGGGCATCCGGGGGCGGGGGGGCGGAAGGCTGCGGCCGGATCCCAAAAGGGTCTTGGTTAGCCGTGAGAGGCAGCCCAGTATCCCCTCCCTCGACTCAAAGCAAAGGTGGCGCCCCGGACCCCCTTTTGATCTCCTTTTGCAGCCCAGCACGCCCCCTCCCCCACCGCTGCTGTAATGTACTCCGCCATGACCACGTGCGTGACTCTTGGGCCATGCGGTCATGCAGAGTCCTGAAGCTTCGCTCCTAGAGAACAATAGCCGAGCAGATCCTAGCCCGCACCTATCAGAGGGCCGTGTCCGCAGCCGAGAGCCTATGGGGCTCTCGGCTACTGCACATAGCCTATAGGGAAGTAGGGGGTGTGTTTTGGTGGTGGCTTTTCTGGGCATATAAACCGGCCTGCGAGCCGGCTTCTCTTATCCTGTTCTATCCGAATAAAAGTACTTTGCTGAAATCACTCAACGCTTCTCAGTACTTTTCAGCTGCCCTTGGGGAACTCTCCCCCCCCCCAATGCCGTGCGCTTTGGGGGGCTGATGCCTGCACCCAAGAGAACCCTCCTCCACACCGTGGGGGCGGAGGGGATGGGAAAGGGCCCCCCGCCCCCTCTGCAGAAGCCAGATTTGCTGAACTAAGGGGGGAAGGGACCCCTTAGTGTGATCAGAGGGGCTGAAGGGGGGGCCTCCGAGGGGGTCAAGAGGATGGGGGGGAAGGCCCGGAAACTCCCCTGCCCCTCCTTCGGGGTCCTGCAGTACCACTGCCTCCCTGCAAACCCAGGAGGGTCCCTGCAGCAGCAGCAGCAGCACCCTTCTTGGGGCGGAGACCTCAGGAGCCTTCCCTTGGCCCATGGAGGCCGTGCGGCATTGCAAGGGGTCGGGGGGGGGGTGGGGGGGGGGGGGGGGGGTGGCCCAGGAGCCTCCCTTTCTCTCTCTATGGAAGGGGCCTTCGGCTCTTCCCGGAAAAGTCTCTCCCCGCACACCTCGCAGTTAGGACAATAGCGCCCCCCCCCACACACACCCCAGGTGTTTCTCCACAAGGGCTGCCCTGAATTGGGACTTTACCTGCCTTCTCTTGTGAAGGGAGCCTGGACTGTCCCGAAAGGGCGAGGCAGGTCCCTGGGTTAGCCTCTGTCCTTCACAGTAGGAAAAAGCAAGAGTCCAAGAGAACCAGAAAGAATAAGGAAATTTGGGGCCGGGGAGGAGCTTTTTCTGACAGTAGAGCAAGAGTCCAAGAGCACATGACATAAGAACCTAAGAGAAGGCAATGCTGGATCAGACCAAAGATATCAGGTGCCCTCAGGAGGTCCAGCAGCGGGGCCAGGACACTAGAAGCCGGGGTATACTAAAAGGAAGGACAGGATGCTGGCAGGCCCATGGGAAATGATGGGAGCCAGGAATG